GTGTTATTAGCAAGAGATGATGACAGATGTGAAGACTTGCAATTTCTAGTCTGTAGTAAGAGCCAGAAAATGGAAGCTGTTATTTTTATCTGGCTAGGGGGTGATTGTTTGCTTTACAGTCTGGTCCTACACTTAACAAAAGCCTTCACATTAGGGTTCCTCTAATAGCTCAGTTCCTCGAAGCATCTAATATCTACAAATTCCAGAATTCTTTTCGCTTGCAGCATTTCAAAAGTTTATTGTGTAAAGGGAAAAAAATCAGACAATCCCGCCTCTCAAATTTTTAGACTGGTTTGAATTTTTCAATGATCTGAGTGGGTGTTTGTTGTTAGAACTTGAGTACCCTGGGAAGGTATCCCACAATAACTAGGAAATAAGGGTGAAGCCATTGCCCACCCCCACCCCCAGAAAAAGTTTTGAAATTCACAAAGTTGTCTGAAAGATGCAGAGCATTCTCAGACCTTGCTGCCCTGACCAAGGAAATAGATGCTTGGTGTCACAGAGAAAAATCAGCACTGAGACAAAGGATCTTTCAGCAACACAATTTTTACTTCCTGGACTGCAAGAAGGGTACTCTCACTAGCCATCATGCCACAAGAGTACAATGAATAAAGGAAAACTGACAAATTTATCCCTTGCGCATTTGGGGTCGTCCGTACTGCTGTGTCTGATCTCCATTGGCTGGAGTCAGACCTCACAATCAAAACTAAAACCCGATTGGCTAACAACTTAAAACTTTTCTAAACAGGTAAAAGCAATGGAGAGCTGGACATGTCTGTGAGCATGTCCAGCACAGATATCTTGGTTAAAGTACAAGGACATAGAATGTACTACGTGCCTGTAAGCATGGCATGTTTAACAGCTACATGGGATAGGGCTTAATAAAGTTATTAGCACACTTTAACAAGAAAGAAAACCTTAAAAAGGAACTTTTCTACTTCCCACATTAATTAATCAATTTATTTTTTAATTTTTGAGACAGAGTCTTGCTCTGTCACCCAGGCTGGAGTGCAGTGGCATGATCTCTGCTCACTCCAACCTCTGCCTCCCAGATTCAAGCAATTCTCGTGCCTCAGCCTCCCAAGTAGCTGGGATTACAGATGTAAACCACCACACCTGACTAATTTTTCTATTTTTAGTAGAGACAGGTTTTGCCATGTTGGCCAGGCTGGTCTTGAACTCCTGGGCTCAAGTGATCCTCTTGCCTTGGCCTCCCAAAGTGCTGGGATTGCAGGGGTTAACCACCATACCTGGCCCCTTTATAATTTTTACTTAACAGTAATTACTTCCTGTATAAATCAAGGGAGAGGAAGGGTTAACTTTGTATTAATTCTCAACATCCTGTCCACCTAAAGAAACGAAGGCAAAATTAATATAGAGAATTTTTTTTGAGACGGAGTCTCGCCTGTCGCCCAGGCTGGAGTGCAATGGTGCAATCTCAGCTCACTACAACCTCTGCCTCCCGGGTTCAAGTGATTCTCCTGCCTTAGCCTCCTGAGGAGCTGGGATTACAGGCACCTGCGACTATATCTGACTAATTTTTTGTACCTTTAGTAGAGACAGAGGTTCATCATAATGGCCAGGCTGGTCTCGAACTCCTGACCTTGTGATCCACCCACCTTGACCTCCCAAAGCGCTGGGACTACAGGTGTGAGCCACAGCTCCAGACTTCAATAATTTAGATAAGACTCCCTGCCATAGGATTCACAGATGACTTCCAGATATTTGTGACAAGGTCAAATGCAGAACCTTCAACTTCATGTTCCTTTATTCATGAGCAATTAAGATTAGAATTGCCTGTCCCCCTGAAACTAGCTAGAGACAAAGGTAAACATTTTCTGTTCAGCTGGCAGAGACTTCCCCTGATTGCAAAACCATGCTAACTGTTTCTCACGAACCTGTGACTTGTCATTCCTTCTTATAAATGTCTAAGGCAAAGCTACTTTGTCACAACACTTTGATCCTCACATTTAGATGGCTCTCCCTATTGCAACAGCCTCTATAGAATCATATCCTTAATTGTCCTATGCATTTTGTTTTTTTAAAAAAATTAGTTTAGCCAGGCATGGTGGATGTAGAGACCTCCATTGCTACAAAAAATTAATCCCAGCACTTTGGGAGGGTGAGATGGGAGGATCACGAGGTCAAGAGATTGAGACCATCCTGGCCAACATGGTGAAACCCTGTCTCTATGAAAAATACAAAAATTAGCTGGGCACAGTGGTGCATGCTTGTAATCAGCTACTTGTGAGGCTGAGGCAGGAGAATCGCTTGACCCCAGGAGGCGGAGGTTGCAGTGAGCCAAAATGGCAATACTGCACTCTAGCCTGGCCACAGAGTGAGACTCCATTAAAAAAAATAATAAGAAGAATTGGTTTTGGGGAGTGGGGAGTCTCAAAAAAAATTAGTTTTAATTATTTTCATCACTTTGTTTCTTGATGCAGATGATGATAACGATTATTAGATATTTTAGTTGAAAGGAGACATATTTTAAAATGCAGAGAAAATTAACTTCCAATAATATGTCAGGGACTGGCACTAAAAAAAAATTTCAGACTGCAGGCTGGGTGCAGTGGTTCATGTCTGTCATCCCAGCACTTTGGGAGGCCCAGGTGGGCAGATTACCTGAGGTCAGGAGTTGGAGACCAGCCTGGCCAACATGGTAAAATCCCATCTCTATTAAAATAAATACAAAAATTAGCCAGGCATGGTGGCATGCACCTGTGGTCCCAGCTACTTGGGAGGCTGAGGCAGGAGAATCACTTGAACCCGGAAAGCTGGGATTGCAGTGAGCTGAGATCACACTCCAGCCTGGGAACAGAGAGAAACTCCATCTCAAAAAAAAAAAAAAAAAAAAAAAAAATTGTTTTTTCAGACTACAAATGAGTTATACAAATGAAAGTATCAAACGGAGACCCAGCTATCAAGATTAAAGCACTCAATATATTAAAAATTCACAATTATTTGTATAGAACATATAAAAACATCAGCTTACTAACCAACTGTGGTAATTTTGAACTAACACAGAGGTTTGAAAAAATAATTATTCCTCACCTCTCTAGCCCCAATAACTATGAAGTCAGTTTTATGACAGGACTCCAAACACTGAATTGTGATGAGAAATGCTAGGCCTAATTCAGATATTATTTAAAGGTGGTTTCGAAATATAGATTTAAGAAGAAAATAAAAACAAGACAAATAAATCACTAAGTAGATATATGCAAAGAAAGTTATAAATATGAGAAGGTATCTTTGTTAAGAAAGATGAAAAAGACACATAACTTTGTATTAGACAAAATCTTGCGTGGTAAAAATGATAAAGAAAAAAGAAAAGTAAATTTTTGTCCTAAGGTAGAGTAATTGTTTGTTCTGATATTAAAAAGAAATACTAGAACAAACTGAGGCCTAAGCAAGCCATAAGAGGTTTGAGCAAGTTGCAAAAGGTTTGTGAAAGATGAATTTTATAAAATAAATTTTGTACGTATAAAATTGGTTAAATGTAGAAGGAAATTGTTTATAAATTTTTCTGAAAATTGAATATATGGATACAAAATAAAAAACTAGTTCTCTATGTTTAAAGCAACAAGAGTTTCCTGGAGTATCATTGCTCTCAGTTAAAAAAAATTACAAGAAGTTTTGATTTTTAATTCTGAAATCTGGCTGGGTGTGGTGACTCACAGCTGTAATCCTGGTGCTTTGGTAGGCTGAGGCAGGAGGATTGCTTGAGGCCACCACGAGTTTTCGACCAGCTTAGCCAATATCATGAGACCCCAGTCTCTACAAAAAAAAAAAAAAAAAAAAAAAAAAAAAAAAAAAATTATCCAGGCATGATGGTGCATACTTGTAGTCTTCCTCCCAACCCCTTCCTCAAGAGGCTGAGTTAGGAGATCAATTGAGCTCAAGAGTTTGAGTCTGCAGTGAGCTATGATGTAAAACTGCACTCCAGCCTGGGCAAGAGAGTAAGACCCTATCTCTAAAACAAAAAAATCTGTTATCTGTTTCTTTAAATTTTTTTTACCATCTTCTGAACTATAATCTCTTCCTGTTTTATGGTTTCTGTTTAATTTCCCTAATTCTAGGTTTAGAATGCTATCTTTTAAATTTAAAGCAATAATTTAATTTCTCAAAATAGACTCTCTTGAAGATTTTCCGATTTACATCTCAGAAGCTCAACTTCTGTTTCACTTCATTCCACATGATTTGCAGGTCACAGACCGTTATCGTCTGCTCTTCCTCCTCCCCTTAAGAAGGCACACTTTTTTTTTTTTTTTTTTTTTTTTTTGCTTGATTAGCTTAATGACTCTCTCCCTTGACCTTTTGGTAAGCATCTGTACTTCTTTTCTCTGATTCTAACTCTGCTGCTGATATGTTTGTTTTAAAGGCCTAGAAAAGCAGTATTTTCCTCCAGCAATAACTTGATTCTGTACTGTTGGCTTTTCTTGATATGTCTGAATTATTCCATGTAACCAGGAAATTTAATGTGCTTTTACTTTTTCTAAGAGCCATATGTTTCCCTGCTCAAGGTACTGATTTTTTTGTTTACTTCTTTAATATAGTGTATACTCATGACCTTGGACACACACATATCCAGTGTCAAATTGAATTCAAGTACCTTTTCATTAGGTTAGATTTTCAGGTTATCTAAAAGGACCTCCTATAAGAAGCAATTACACTGCTGAAGTATATTCTTTATTTTTCGGTAATTGGCCTGGGAAAAAAAGATTCTGTGTTTTATCAAGATAATTTCCTGTGCTTCATGTGGTCTTTATTATGTTTTTGATTACTTAGGAAAACTGAGTCTTTAGCCTTTAAAAAAAAAAAATACATGCGACTTTCTGCATTTGCTTTTGAAATTTTTATTCTTTGAGATAGGATCTCACTATGTTGTCCAGCCTAGCCTTGAACTGCACTTAAGGGATCCTCTCACCTCATTCTCCTGGTTGCTGGGACTACAGGTGCACACTACCACGCTCAGCTTACTTTTGAAATCTTCACTCACAATCCTTTTCTAGTTCATAAGCATGAAGACTGAGTGTTCGCACTTGTGTGTGAGATCTGCTACCCTCAAACCTTGAAACCTTCAGTCACTCCTGTTAAGTGAATGACTGTTATTTCACTATTATCCGTGATTCTGTTTTAATTAAATGTTTGATATATTTTGACATATTTGGCAGGCTTTCTCAGTATCAGACTTCTAAATGAAGTCTTTTTGACCGAGAATTATCTTTGGGATTTTCTAGTTGGGCCTCTGGAGAGCCTCAAAGGATGTATTTTTTAGCTGTTTTCAGAGCCTCAAAGGATGTATTTTTCAGCTGTAGAGATGTTAAACTAATTAGGCTTATTTGATGTATTGAGTTGTATGGGAAGCATTGGAGGCACAGATGGGAGCAAATAACAAAGTGATGCTAAATCTTCTCTAAGTTATATTTATATGGCTGCGTTATTGATGTGAATGATCTAAAAATTATGTAAAATTTATAAATGTTTGATGCTCCTAATGTAATGTTGTTAGTCATTTTTCTGGCTGTTATCTTAAAATGCTGTTTGCAATAAATGTAACTGAGTTTCCTGGTCAATTCCTGAACTCTCATCAGATTTGTAACCATGGCTGTTCTAAGCCTCTGTCTTCCACAGTTTTAATTCTTCTTTAAGTGCATCTGCAGATTCACGGAAAAGACTCTGGCAAGTACTCCTGAATATAGGTGTCTGATAAATTTAAGATCAATGCACTAAGTAAAGATATTCAGGACCCCCATGAAGAAACTGATAAATTCATGGAACTGACAATTAAGATGAAAGGGAACAAAAGTTAATTACATGAGATTTGAAACATTGTTGGTTTTTTACTTAAATGTTTTGTTTTCCAGATTTAAGGAGACTGCCTCTCAGGTTATCCTGTAGTTTACAGCAATTTGGTAAAGTATACTTTTGTGAACAAAACTGGCAACATTTACTTTTTCTCTGTCCCTCCAAAATTTGGAAACTATTTGTGAGTATTCTTTTTTTTTTTTTTATGGCAATGTAGTTGTTTGCATAAGATACAATTGGAAACATTGGTTATATTACCAAGGTTTTTTTTTTTTTTTTTTTTTTTTTTTTTTTGAGACGGAGTTCCGCTCTTGTTACCCAGGCTGGAGTGCAATGGCGCGATCTCGGCTCACCGCAACCTCTGCCTCCTGGGTTCAGGCAATTCTCCTGCCTCAGCCTCCCTGAGTAGCTGGGATTACAGGCACGCGCCACCATGCCCAGCTAATTTTTTGTATTTTTAGTAGAGACGGGGTTTCACCATGTTGACCAGGATGGTCTCGATCTATCGACCTCGTGATCCACCCACCTCGGCCTCCCAAAGTGCTGGGATTACAGGCTTGAGCCACCGCGCCCGGCCATTACCAAGGTTTTAAATGTGATGTCATATTTTCAGCTACTTATAGGCACTGCAGAAAAAGTTTTAACTCTGCCTTAGATTAGTTTTCGAGCCTTGAGAAATTTTTAAAAGTTCAACCTGAGATTCCTATTGGTCAATTACCATTTCTGCTGTGCCTCTGTGAATTTATCAGGCCAAATTTGATAAAACAAAACAAGTAACAACCAATTAGTCTATCGGATTATCTTTGGTAGAAATCAGAATGACTATAGCAAAAAATTATCTTTTTTTTTTTTTTTTTTTTTTTTTTCTTTTTGGAAACAGAGTTTTGCTACGTTGCCAGGAGCCAGGCTGGAGTGCCGTGGCGCGATCTCAGCTCACTGCAACCTCTGCCTCCTGGGTCAAGCAATTCTTCTGCCCCAGCCTCCCTAGTAGCTGAGACTACAGGCACGTGCCACCACACCCAGCTAATTTTTGTATTTTTAGTACAGATGGGGTTTCACCATGTTGTCCACGGTAGTCTTGATCTCTTGACCTCATCATCTGCCCACCTTGGCCTCCCAAAATGCTGGGATTATCTTTCTTTTTCTTTCTTTTTCTTTTTTTTTTTTTTTTTTTTGAGACAGAGTGCGGTGACTCAATCTCCACTCTGGCAACCTCCGCCTGCCAGGTTCAAGTGATTCTCCTGCCTCAACCTCCCGAGTAGCTGGGATTACAGGCATGTACCACCACACACTGCTAATTTTGTATTTTTAATAGAAAGGGGGTTACTCCATATCGGTCAGGCTGGTCTCTAATTCCCGACCTCAGGTGATACGCCCTCTTTGGCCTCCCAAAGTGCTAGGATTACAGGTGTGAGCCACCATGCTGGGCCTTGTTTCTGTTTCTAAAGAAAAACTATCATATACCTATTACTAGATGGTAGCCCTGTGTTGAGTATTTTTGTTTGTTTGTTTGAGCTTTTATTATTTACCTGCGTGGAATGAGCTGGATCTTAAATTCTTCTAGGCTCCTCCAGTCCACTTTTCTCCCACAGAATTACTAAGAATGGGAAGTGCTCTTTCCTATAGCCTCGTAAGCTGAAGTTAGACAACTTGGTATAAATCTCAAGGGTCAAGCCTCACACCCGATGTGTGGGCCATACCAAAAGTCCACCAAAACACTGAATGCCATAACCAGAGACATTTGAACTACAAACCAGGATGAGCAGTTGACATCTTCATGTTGTGGACAGCTTTTCCTAACATGATGGAATAAGATTTCCCGTCGTAATGAGCCTCTTGCCCCTCTTAATTTTTCCTTGCTTATTCCTATCTTTTTCACTTGGCATAATAATGATGCAATTAAAATTTCACAGTCAGCAGCTTCTGCGGGGAACTTGACCAAATGTTGCATCTGTCATGACGATCCTAAATAGTTACATGGCCTAAAAAGAAAGAAAGAAAAAAAAAAGCCTTTAGTCCATCCAATAGGTAACTTTAACAAAGTCCATAATACAACTGTCACTCTCTGCTTTATCTCAACCAGTCATGATATAATAGGTGACAGAATTGCTCTTGATTATCTAGCTGGGAAAGGCAATGTCTGTGCTATTTCTCATACTACATGCTATACCTGGATAAGTTCCTCTGGGGAAGTTGAGACCCAAATATACAAAGTAAGGAACAGGTCACATAGAAGCAATAGGTCTCACCTAATTCGCTATAGTCATTTGATTTATTAGTCGGTTGCCTTTAAGCCTGTGTTCATGGTTCAGAACTATTATTCTAACTAAAATAATCTTATTACTATCAATTATACTTTGTGTTTTCCTTTATAACTTTGTATCTGTTGCCCGTTAAATTTCTGCAAGAGTATGACTTCTAACTATAATGCTGTCCCAGAGCTTTGAATGCTAGCCAATCCCATGGAACAGACAAAATTAAACTTGACAGTGGGCTCCAGGTAGACGTAGCCTGAGCACCATCCCCTCCAAACCTCGTTTGTTGCTCAAATGTGGCTAAAAGGGTTTTGACACTTACTCCTACTTGCCAGTTAATTCCTTCTGAGGTGGGACCAGACTGACAAGTCAGGACAAGTTATGTCTACACGAAGAGACAGCCAAACTCTAACCACAAGATAATTAATCAAAGATGCCTTCAGAGAAAGATCGGGATCAAAAAAGGAAAGTACAAAAGTTGTCAGAATCAAAATGGTATCACTTGTGTCAAACTGAATTGACGAATGAAGCCGTGAAGGGGGGTTTCTCATGCATGTGTGCCTAATAACAAGAACGGTCACAAAAGACTGCAAAAACAACCTTGCAGGGAAGTCGCTACAACAGTACACAAAAAAATACTTCTGTAGGTTGGGTGAGGTAGCTTACGCCTGTAATCTCAGCACTGGGAGACTGAGGCAGGTGGATCACCTGAGATAAGGAATTTGAGACCAGCCTGGCCAACATGGCAAAACATCATCTTTACTAAAAATACAAAAAAAAAAAAAAAAAAAAAAAAATTAGCTGGGTGTCGTGGCCCATACCTGTAATCCCAGCTTCTTGGGAGGCTGAGATAGAAGAATTGCTTGAAACCAGGAGGCGGAGGTTGCAGTGAGCCCAGATGGCGCCACTGCACTCCAGTCTGGGCAGCAAGAATGAAATTCTGTTTCAAAACAAAACCAAACCAAAACAAAACAAAACAAAAAAAACCCTTGTCTTCCTTTACTTCCCTGAATATACCCGTATGTGCTCCCACTGTAATGCTCGTTCCTGGATAACAAACATCATTTTCTCTTAGAGAGCTTCTCTCTCTGTTACTTGGGTTGACTGAGGAATTGAGATCACACTCAGTGTCTGCCACTCCCTCAGTTCATGTATGAGCCAAGTGGTCAGAGGCGGCAGATCCTTGCCCAGGGGTTGCCATGCTTTTGCTCATGTGACCTGCAGCCCTGGAGTAGCAGAGCTGTCATTGCTGCACGTGTTTCCCTGTGACCTTTCAGTGGGCTCCCGCCCATTCCCAACTTCCGGTATCTACAACCCAGAGGCTTTTTTATTTTCCCCAGAGCTGAGGAAGGTGGCTTTTCCCAGGCACAGGGCAGGGTGAAAGTGACTGGGAATTAGTATCCTCAGTGACAGTAGGAAGTCTGTATATAAATACATCTATTTCCTCCTCCTTTGGGTGGGATCATTCTGAGGCATATGTTTTATGCTGTTTCCCCCAGGGAATTAAACTTTAGTTGCCCCCTATGGTAGCTGGCTTAATAATGCCCTTTCCCTTCCTTGTGTCACTTCTTTCATTGTGGGGAGTTGGGAGGAATGGAGTCCCGCTCTGTCACCAGGCTGGAGCACAGTGGCACCATCTTGGCTCACTGCAAGCTCCACCTCCTGGGTTCAGGTGATTCTCCTGCCTCAGCCTCCCAAGTAGCTAGGATTACAGGTGTGTGCCATCACACCCAGCTAATTTTTGTCTTTTGAGTAGAGATGGGGTTTCACCATGTTGGCCAGGCTGATCTCAAACTCCCGACCTTGTCATCCACCCGCCTCAGCTCTTTGTGTCACTTCCACATTCCCCTACCAGTCTGTCTTACACCTTCCAAAGACAAGCTTGTATTCAAATCCTTGCTTCTGAGAGAACCATACTAATCACCAGACCTGACTGAATATACAAAGAATGAACCTGGATCCAAGACAGCAACTCTACTCTGTATGTGATTATGGTTGAGAAACCAATCCAACTTATTCTCAGGGAGCACAGAAGGAAGAAACT